ACCTACCACATATCGTTTAATCCATTAATCAGCTGATAGACATTTGGTTGTTTTCACTTTGGCTACTATGCATAAGGCTGGTTGAATATTTCTGTACAAGTTTTTGTGGGGGCATTTGTTTTCCATATGTCTAGGGTTGGTATTGCTGGGTTATGGTATTTCTATGCTTGACATTTTGAAGAACTGCCAAATTGTCTTCCAAAATACCTGCACTATTTTATAATCCTACCAGTAATGTATAAGGTTCCAGTTTCTCTGCATCCTTCCTGGCACCTTTCATTTTGATTATAGGTATCCTAGGGGTTATAAGCTCTCACTGTGGCTTTGATTGCAGCTCCCTGAAAGGTAGTTATGCTGAGCACTTTTTTTTGTGGACTTACTGGCCATTTGTATATCGTCTTTGGAGAAATGTCTATTCAAATCTTTTGCCCATTTTTTTTGATGCTGGGGATTGAACATAGTGTGTTAAGCATGTGCTCCACTTGTAAGCTGCACCCCCAACCCCTTTCCATTTTTAAGTTATGTTGTCTTTTTATTTTGTTATAAGATTTTTTAATTATTCTGTATATGAGTTGTAGCATTTGCATTTAGTCTATTATGATTATTATTGTTGTTATTTTTTGGTGTTAGTGGGGATTGAACTCAGGGCCTTGAGCTTGTTAGGCAAGCTGTCTTCCACTTGAGCCACACCCCAGTCCTAGTGTGATTATTGTTATGGTTGGATTTAAATCTACCATTTCACTGTTTTCTATTTTTTCTGTTTGTTCTGTATTCTTTGCTTTTTTTGCTTTGTATAAGGTAGGTTTTTTTTTTTTGTGGTACTGGGGTTTGAACTCAGGGCTTTGGGCTTGCTAGGCAGGCGCTCTACCACTTGAGCCACTCCTTTTGTTTTAATAGTCAAAACTGCAAGATAAGCATTGCATATGTAGGATACTTTTAGTTCACATATGTGGAATCTTAAAAAAAAGACATGCAGGTGGGAGGGGGATATTAGGGAATAGGAAGGGGGTCAGTGGGGAGGGAAGTAAGTGTGGGTAAGGGGGAGGGAATACCATCAAAGTACCTTATGTATATGTACGAAAATGCCATAATGAAACTTGAACTTGTTAAGAGGCTGCTGGCTTTATTGTCCATTTACAATTGCTAAATGAGTGAGACTAATAACAGGAAATGCATTGAAATGAGAAAGTTTTAATAATGCCCCGAGGATTCACTGATGGCAAGTTCAATTATAGTCATGAAACGATCGCTTCAAAATCCTATGTCAGATAGATAAAAATCTTAAAGCGTTTGAGCCTGAAATGCACATAGTGCAGAATGTTACATCTTGGCTCCATTACAGGGCATAGGAGGAGAACTGAATCAATAGAGGAGTTACGGAATAGATGGTATCTATTGTCAGTCGGGAACTTTATTTTAAATAGGTAAAGTAAGTAGTTCTTGTCTATAAATAAATATTACTAATTATATATTGAAGAATATTGCTTTGAACCTTAAAAGTTCCAGAGTTTAACAGAGGTACTGGGTTGATGGGTTTGACTTGATGACCCCGAGTTTCCCCATCCTCTTGCTGCCTCACCTTTGTAAAGAGATTATTGTTACTTACTGAAGATTGGTGCTGAGGCAGGGAGAGAGGAAATGGTATGATCTTCGGAGGAAGGTTCTTTCCTGAGAGTGACAGGTGAACACTGGTTTTCCTATGCACCTGAACTCCACCATACTCCTATCCATAAGGCCATAGCAAAAAAGGTAATTGTATTAGTCAAAGTTCTCCAGAGAAGCAGGAGCAAAAGGGGGGTGGGGTGGGGTGGAGAGAGAGAGAGAGAGAGAGGGAGAGAGAGAAACTATGAAATTGTGCCGCCTGGCAAGTCTAAAGTCTACAGGGCAGGGCACACAGAGAGGAGTCAATATTGAGATGACTGTGTAGAGATAGAATTTTCTCTGCCTCTGGAAAACTCAGCCTTTGGAGGATAATCTGCTTTGCTCAGAGTCTACTGATTTAAGTTTTGATCACATCTAAAAATTACCAAGACAGCAACATCTAGTCTACCGTTCGACAAATACTGGGTTACTATGGCCTACCTCAGTATTAACCAGCACAGTAATTAAAACGGTAAAATTATTTCTTGCTTTCCATTATGAAAAAACAAAACAAAACAAAACAAGCTGGAGGTGTGGCTCAAGTGGTAGAGTACCTGCTTTGCAATTGTAAAGCCCTGAGTTCAAACCGCAGTCCAACTAAAAAAAAAATTAAGCTATAGGCTTTGGGCTGGTGGAGTGGCTCAAGCTGTTAGAACACCTGCCTAGCAAGTGTGAGGCCCCTGAGTTCAAACCCTCTAGTGCCACCCAAAACAAAAAAAAATACTCTGAACTATGAAAAAAAAATGTCAAGAGACTTGCCCAAGTGTATTTTATCTTTTTTATTTTTTTGAGCTCAGGTTGACCTAGAACTTATGATTCTCAGCTTCCTGAGTTCTGGAATTACAGGAGTGTACCACCACTCCCAGCTCTAAGTTAGATGTATTAATTTGCAAAATAGGTCTTCACTTGATGATGTTTAATAATAATTCATCTAGACAACCAAAGAACCTGAGTAACTGGCTTCTATTTGACACAGACTTCTTAAAAGCTTTTATATTTTCTTAGTAGAGAAATTTAAACTTAATGTTAGAATCAGGTCTTATCCCATGTACTTATATTACCTAGAAATAAGTGCTTTCTTTCTATGAAAAACATTTCATGAATGTATGGTTGAACTTTCAATAACTGATTTTGGGATGTATAAAATACAGTTCTGTTGGGTGTGGTGGCACACACGTAATCTCAGCACTTGGGAGGCTGAGGCAGGAGGATTGTGAGTTTCAGGTCACTCTGACCTACATAGTGGGACCCTGGCTCAAAACTTACAGACAAATATGTAACATCAACAAAAATGCAGTTCTAATAGTGCCAATGGTAGTGACTGCTTAAAGTGGTAATGGGAAGTGGACTTAGTTCTACCTTACTTGGCCAGAAAGAAGACAAAAGCATTTGAAAGGACAAATCAAAATTTGCAGAGAAAGAAAAAGAATTAAAAAAAAATCCAGGGACCAATATTACAAGGATAAAAGTATTCACACAGAGGACCAGTTACTTAAATCAGAGTGCAAATTATTTTGATTAATTAGTTAATTAATTTTGTGGTACAGGGGATTGAACCTAGGGTCTTGTACTTGCTAAGCACATGCTGTACCACTTGAGCTATATTCTTGATCTTTTTTTATTTATTTTGCTTTTGAGATAGAGTTTCACTTACTTTGCCTTGGCCAACCTCAAACTCATGGTCTTCCTGCCTCTACCTTTCAAGTAGCAAGGATTCCAGGCATGTACCATCAGGTCTGGCTGATTTTATTTTATTTAAAATATTTGCTTCTCGTATTTCATTTCTAGAAGGAATTACAGAAAAGTGAATGGAAGAACATTATAATGATAGATTAACAACCAGCTCTACCGTCTTGATACAACTGGAGAAAACTGGTGAGTCTCACCACCTCTTTACTTGCACTGCCTGCCATGCTTTTGTGGTTCTGCACTTCTGTCATGGTGTTGAGTAAGACCCTTCCTCAGTCTTTTGATAAGTTGCATTAAGTTTGTGTTTAGAAGTTTAACAGAAGGCCTGTTAACTTAAGGCCTTCTGTTTTCAGGATCAGTCATATTTTTAAGTGTGCTGCTTATTTTTCTACCTACCTACCTACCTACACACACAGAGAGAGACACACACACTCCCTCCAGCATTCCTCTGGACACCTGGGGTTTTGACTTGTTGCCTTTTAGATTTCACCACAGCGCCTGTTTCTTATTCCTAGTTACTGAAAGCATCATAGGACTGTGGCATCTTTGGGGTCGGGAGGGACAAGACCATTCCTTCCCTCTGCCTCTCTGTGTGTGATTCCCTAGCACAACACATGGAGTGTAGTTTATCGAATGGATGCCAGGCATGACTCAACCTTCAAAAGAAAGACTAAGTTTCCTTCACTGGCATTCTGTCATCCAGTCTTTGCTTATTTATGTAAACAAGGGGGAGTCCTCCCTGTCACTGGAGAAAGCATGTACTTTCTGTGCTTCGAAAGTCACTTTAAAGACCAGCTTTGGGATGTTCTGGAGAAGACACAGAGGACTGCAGCTGGCGTGCGGTGGCCCCTTCATTCCTCTTTGGCTTTCTCGTCCGGGGTCACCCTCTGGGACATGACTCACCATAACCATACACCTGTAACGTACAGGATGCTGATGCTGAGGACTTCCCCTGAATGCAGAGATGAAGATACCACTGTGCTAAACAACCTTCTCTTCTGAAACGTCAGGGCAACTTTCTTTCTCAAAGGTTTCCTTCTTTGTTTTGGCTGTCAGCTGGGCAGATCATCTCCTTATATACTGTGAAGAGTCAGGTCTTAAAAAACAGAAAGTGGATACAGTTTACTAAAGCAGAGAATAAAACTTTAGCAAAATAGCTAAATACAGGGGATCTAGGGGGTGGCTCAAGTGGTAGAGTGCTTGCTTAGCAAGCTCAAGGCCCTGAGTTAAAAACCCTAGTGCCAAATGCTCTGGTTTTAGTTAAGAGTTGCGTATTTTTTGAAAATTAATTATCAGTGGATTCTTCTGAATCGAAAAGAGCCAGTTCACTAATGGGTAAGGGCTTAATGCAATTATTTCCCAAACTGTGGTTCACTGATCTCATCTGTAAGACAGGAACAGTTGTACCTTTGCCATGGTGTGCTGGTGGCTAAATAGAATGCTGTATGTGAAGTCCTTGGCCTGGCTCCTGAAATTTAGTGGGTAAACTCCTCTCACAATTATTAAAAAAAAAGAGTTGGTCTTATATTCTGCATGCCTTGATAATAAATAAGCATTTCTGATAGGAATACAAAATCCTTTCAGTATTTTCCAGTTAGTTCCATTCCCATAATATTAAGGCTAAATTAACTTTCGTTTTTTCTTCCAAGGTCCTTTGGAGAGCTCATTGGATGGGCACGCTAAACCAGACAAGAGTGACTGAATTTGTCCTCTTGGGACTCACTGATAATTGGGTGTTAGAGATACTGATTTTCATAGTGTTTTCAGACACTTATGTGCTGACCCTTCTTGGGAACATTCTCATCATTGTCACCATAGTCTTTACTCCACGTCTTCACACCCCCATGTACTTTTTCCTGAGCAATCTGTCCTTTATTGACATCTGCCATTCATCTGTCACCGTGCCCAAGATGCTGGAGGGTTTGCTTTCAGAGAGAAAGACCATTTCCTTCGACAACTGTATTGCACAGCTCTTCTTCCTATATCTCTTTGCTTGTGCTGAGATCTTCCTGCTGACGATTATGGCGTATGATCGTTACATAGCTATCTGCACTCCACTGCACTATCCCAATGCAATGAACATGAGAGTCTGTGTGCAGCTTGTCTTGGCTCTCTGGTTGGGGGGTACTGTCCATTCACTAGTGCAGACCTTCTTGACCATTCGGCTACCCTACTGTGGCCCTAATGTTATTGATAGCTACTTCTGTGATGTGCCTCCTGTCATCAAGCTAGCCTGCACAGATACGTACCTCACAGGAATGCTGATTGTGTCCAATAGTGGAACCATCTCGCTCACTTGTTTCCTGGCCTTGATCACTTCCTATACCATCATTCTAGTTTCTCTGCGAAAACAGTCAGCTGAAGGGCGCAGGAAAGCCCTGTCTACCTGCTCAGCCCATTTCATGGTGGTTGCCCTCTTCTTTGGGCCGTGTATCTTCATCTACACTCGTCCAGACACCAGCTTCTCCACTGACAAGGTGGTGTCTGTTTTCTACACAGTGGTCACGCCTTTGCTGAATCCTCTCATTTACACCTTGAGGAACAAGGAAGTGAAATGTGCCATGAAACAGCTCAGGCACAGACAAATTTTTTCATAAAATCAAATCCATGCTGGCATTGGGATCACAGACATAATTGTGGCCACACCTTTGATGAGAAAGCCGAAGTAGAGTCAAAATCCTTGTGTCAAATGACATAGGACAGGGCAGACTTCTGTGCTAAAGAAATGTAATAACTGTAATATTTATTTAAGCAAAGAAGAGAGTCCTAGTGGAGCATATAAGGAGAAAGGACTTGAAGAGGTGTGAAGAAACCTTCTGATTTTATAGGAAGAGAACAATTTGGGGAACTGAGCTCGGTTTTGCTTTTGGGACTAGGCACAGCTGCGAGAAACCACTTGCTCGGTTGATACTGTTCTGTGGGTTATTACTGCCTTTGGGAAGACACACACACCACCTGTGTGTACATTAGAGTGGCTTCAGTCTTGCTTTCAAATACATTTTCAATAAAATCAACAAGACTTTACTTACTTATACTGGATTACACTCTGTCGTTTTTGTATGGGCTCTCTTATTTATGTGTGGATCGATTTTGCACTTTTTATATTTAGTTTTGACAAAATCAAGGTAGAGTTGTATAAATTACTGATTTTATTTTACTTTATTTTATTTTGTGGTACTGGATCAAACCCAGAGCCTGTGCCTGTTGTGTAAGTGTCTACCACTGAGCAATACCCTTAGCCTCAGAACTTAGATTAAAAATTAACTTTATTAAGGTAAAAATGTATGTCACACAGGATGCACTCATTTTAATTATATAGTCTGATAATTATTGACAGAGGTATACAGACACCATTTAACTACCTCTGCAATCAAGGTAAAGAACATTTTTACCCCCAAATAGTTTTCTTCATCCCCTTCCCTGCGAGTCCCTCCATTTCCACTCAAGCACTCCAGGTGACTTTTGTCACTATAGACAAGATGGGTCATTCCCAGACTGGGTCACATAGTATTTGCTCTTCTGTGCCTAGCTTCTTTTGCCCTGTGTGCTGTTTCTGAGAGTAGTCCATGCTCTTGTGGGTATCAGTAATGAGAGTTAATTTCATTACATGGACATACTACAATTAGTTTATTCCTCCATGTGTTGATGGGCATTTAGGTGTTTCCAGATTTGACAATTATGAATAAAGCAGCCATGAATGTTTATGTACAGGTTATTTTGGACACATGTTTTTTTGACTCCTGGAGAATTACCGGATCACATAATAAATGTATAATTCAATTTGTAAGAAACAATTGTATGCACATATGAATAAAAGAAAAAAAATAAAAGTCAATGTTATAAGTGGCAAAAAAAAAAAGAAATGACTTTTTCAAAGTGGTTGTAATATTTTATACTCCCATTGGAAATATGAGAGTAATTTTAGGTGTTCTAGTGAGTACGTGGTTTTAATTTTCATTTGATGAAGGACTGATGATGTTGACCTTCTTTTCACTTGCTTACTATACCTTCAATTAATCTTGTTTTGTGATGTCTATTGAAGTATTTTGCTTATTTTTATTATTTTTTGATAATTGTCAATAATTTGTGTATTCTGGATACATGAGCTTTGTTGAATATGTATACTTGCCAATATTTTTGTCACTCATACTTTGCAATTTCATTTTCTTAATAGTATACTTGGAAGATCAAAAGTTTAAAATTTTAAGCTGGGCATTATGGTGAACTTCTGTAATCCCAGCACGCAGCAGACAGAGGCAGGAGGATGTCGAGTTCAAGGTGAGTTTGGAATACATAGCAAGATCCTGTCTCAAATAAAACAAACCAAATAAAATCCCCCAACAGTTTAAAATTTTGATTAAATCAAATTAATAAGTTTTGGAGAAATTTGGAGAGGGTGAGTTCAACCATGATCTATCGTAAGAACTTTTGTAAATGTCACAATGTACCTCTAATACAACAGTAATATGATAATAAAAAAGAAAAAAATTGTTTCTTTTTGTTTTTATGGTTGACTCTTTTTGCATCAAAATCTTTGAGTACCTCAGTGTCAGATTTTCTGATGTTTTATTGTACAAACTGCAGAGCTGGCCGTGGTGGACACACTGTGACTCCAGCACTTGCAGCAGGAGGATCATGAGTTTGAGATCAGCTTTGGATAGTGGACCCTGTCTCAAAAAATAAAAACAGAACCAAAAAGAGACATTACAGAGTTAACTTGAAACTCCAGGTATATGGCCCATTTTGAGTTTACATTTTTTTTTTGTATTGCTGGGTTTTGAAGTCAGGGCTTCACACTTGCAAGGCAGGCACTCTACCACTTGAGCCACGCCTCCAGCCCTTAGTTTACTTTTTATATATGGTATGAAATAAAGGTTGAGATTCATTTTTTTTTCAATCTACTGAGTTGATTCTGCACCATATGAAAAGACTGTTCTTTCTTTCTTTTTTTTTTTTGAAAATAATTGACCTTTCAATGTGAATTTATTTTTGATTCTTCATTCTGTCCCATTGACTTACACATACTTTTCCATTAACTCATTACCATAGTTATTTCAGTTTTATAGTAGTCTTGAAATTATATAAGGTAAGCCCTCATTGTTCTTTTTCAAAATTGTTTTGCTCTTTCAGGTCCTTTACATTTTCACATACATTGTAGAAAAAGCCTGTCTATTCCTACAAAGGAGAATGCTGAAATTTAAGACTGTGATTTCCCTGGCTCTGCAGAACAATTTGGGTGTAAATTATTTGAACAATATTCAACTTCCCAGTTCACCAGTGTGGTAGATTTCTTCATTTATTTAGTTTTGCTTTATTTTCTCTCAGCAATGTTAGTCATTTGTATTAATTTTTCTTTCTCTCTTTGGCGGTACTGGGGTTTGAACTCCCTGTGCTTGCTAAGTAGGCCATGCCCCCTGCCCAAAGTTTACCTTCCTTATAGAGCCAATCCAGACTACGCGCCTTGTGTGGAAACAAGGAAGGGAGGTACTGGGAGGGGTGGGAATAAAAAGGAAAGCTCGGGTACTTCAGCAGACTACGGTTTCTGGATCCCCTTCTGCTTTCAATAGGTCAGTAAACCGCCAGGTACCCAGGGCTCAGGCCTCTAATCCTAGCTACTCAGGAGGCAGAGATTGGGAGGATCGCAGTTCAAAGCCAGCCCAGACAAATAGTTCATGAGATCCTATCTCAAAAAAACCATCACAAAAAAAGGGCTGGTGGAGTGGCCCGAAGTGTAGGCCCTTAGTTCAATTCCCAGTACCTCAAAAAAAAAAAAAAAATCAATAAACCACTATCTCTCTATCTCTTTGTCTCTTGCCTTTTAATGCTTTAATCGGCAGAGAAAATGAATCCTCCTTAGCCTTCAGATGGTATCAAAATTGCTAAATTCACTTACAAGTTTTTGGATTCACTTCCCCCTTTTTTGGGTATGCTGGAGGATTTTGAGAATGGTAGGCAAGCATTCTACCACTGGGAGACTGCATCTCCAGTCTGTCTGCAGATTTTTTTAGTTTTCTTCATTCATAATGATGCCATCTGTAAATAAAGACAGCTTTACTTTTTCCTTGTTTTAGTATATTGACTCGGTACTCCAGGATGGTGTTTAGTAGAAGTGATAAGAGCAGCTTTTTTTTTTCCTCTGGTGGTAGTGGGATTTTAACTCAGTGTTTTACAGGTGCTAGGTAGGTGCTCTATAGCTTGAACCATGACTTTTTTTTTTGTTCATTTATTCACATGTGCATACATTGTTTGGGTCATTTCTCTACCCTGCTCCCCTCCCCTCCCCTTTCCCACCCTTCCCCCCTCAGTTCTAGACAGGTCCTGTTTTGCCCTTATCTCTAATTTTGTTGAAGAGAAGACATAAGCATAATAAGGAAGACAAAGTGTTTTTGCTAGTTGAGATAAGGATAGCTATACAGAGAGATTCCTAGCATTGCTTTCTTGTACCCATGTGTTTGGGACCCATGTTGATTCATCTCTAACTGATCTTTACACTGATTCCTGATCCCCTTCTCATGTTAACCTCTGTCACTTTAAGGTTTCTGTATTAGTTCCTTTGGAGTGGGGACATCAAATGCTTTCATGTTTTGTTTTTGACTGAAGGGGAAAGAAAGATCTCTGTCTTTCCCCATCAAGTATGCTGTTAACTATAGGGTTTTCCTAAATATTCACAAGACATTTACTCCTCTGGTAGTTTGCTGTGAATTTTTAACATGTGTGGGTACTGAATTTTATCAAATGTTTGGTAAATGCTTGTTTTGCATCTGTTGAGATGGTCATATGATTTTTTCCTTTAATATGATTAATGTGGTGCTGTGCCATGGTTTGAACGTTTTTGTTATCTCCAAAATTCATGTTGAAGCTTTTTGTGGTAAAGGTGGCTGAGGATCAAAGTCAGGGCTTCATGCATGCTACACAGGGCCCTACCACTGAGCTGCATGCCCAGCCCTGTTGCTGAACCTAGTCTCCAATGCAAGCATTGTTATTTTTATTTCCTTGAGACAGAGTCTCACATGTGGCCCAGGGTGACCTTGAGCTCTTGATCCTTCTTCGTCAGCTTTCTGAGTCCCTACACAATGGAATTAAAGGTATAGTTTCCAGAAGAAGGTCAGAACCAGGGAATTTTGTTCCTTACTGCTCAAGAAATGTCTTCACTTTCAGAATATGCATTGCGCATGTCTCGCCTGAGTGCTGGCCTCTTTGGTGAAGTTGCCAGGCCTACCGATTCCAAGTCCATGAAAGTGGTGAAATTGTTCAGTCAACAGCCCTTGGCTAAGAGGAAAGAGACTTATGACTGGTATCCAAATCACAACACGTATTTTGCACTCATGGGCACACTCCGTTTTCTTGGCCTCTACAGAGACGAGCATTAGGATTTTAAGGATGAGCAAAGACGTTTAAAGAAGCTTCGTGGAAAAGGGAAACCAAAGAAAGGAGAAGGGAAAAGAGCAGCAAAAAAAGAAATAGTGCCAGCCCATCAAGAAACAACATATCTTCTTCAGCGACTGAGAGGAGGAACATAATAGAGGAACATACTTCCTCAATGAAGATTATTTGGAGAACTACATCATCCAATCCAGTTAAAGTGTGACTGGTTTCTTGAACA